GCTGAAATGCCGGGATTCTGGGCGATGAGAGTTTTGGAGTACCCGCATATTGGATCTTAAAAGTGTAGCTACCAAGTTTACAGCCTCGGAAACCCTGTACAGGGTCGCTATGAGTCGGAACCGACTCCACGGCACATAACAACAACAACCAAATTTAACGGGTTCCTTGTCAGCAAATCAGGTCCCTGTGTGTTAATGGAGCAGGGACGGGGCGAAGGAGTCGCTACTGACCCCCCTAAACCTGGATAGAACGCAAAACCAGGAGTCGGAGATACCCCGGTCTTTACTTCTGACTTTGACCATTCACTGGGGAAAAAATGGGGAATTGGCTCGGATGCCAGGTACCTGGGAAGTTGAGCACGCCAGGGGGACTGGCTGCGCTCGAGTTGTGGGTGCCCCAAACCCAAGCAGATGGCCAAAGCACACGAAAGGAGACTGTGACATTCTGGGGTCTTTAAGTTGCGTTTGGAGAACGTGCCCACTCCCCCAGCTGTCCTGGCCCATCAGAATGCCTAGACTCCCCTTCTCTCCCTACTCTTGTCCGTGATCTGTCCGTCTGAATCCCACCAGCTTCTCCAGGGGCCTCCCTCACCTGCGTGCACAAACCTCCTTTAGCTCCATTTGAGGGTCGACTCGCCGCAGGACTACTTTCTCCCAGTCTAACAGGGAGTCCTAGTGTGGCACTGTCGGATAAGTACTGGACTGCTAACCACAAGATCGGTGGTTCAAACTCACCAGTCAGCAGCTCTTCGGAAACCCTATGCAGGGTGTATATGAATTGGAACCAACGCGGTGGTACTTAACCACAACAAAGGCTACAGGTACCATGGGCCCCCGTCTGAGGGAATGGACCTTCCTCTGACCCTGAGCTGACATTTCTCCCTTCCTGGAGATTTCGAGCTCTGCAGATCCAAGTCATGGCTCTACCGTGTACGGTTCGCCCCGGCGTAGTTGCGGCTCTGGGGCTGGAGGGAACCTTCACTGCCTTCACTGCGCCCTAATCCCCCGCCCCAGATCCCCAGCTCCGGGGAGGCTCACCATCGTGGCTGTTCTCCGCGCCCGCTCTCCTCCCAGCTGGGCCTGCCCACCCCAATTGCTCCAGATACGGCCGCCTCCGCTGTTGTGACACTCTGGGCAGGAGAGGACGGGGGACGAACATGCTGGGGCCAGCAGCTGCCCAGCTGCATCACAGTACCCGGGGAGGGGAGGGACCGGGCTAGGTCACAATTGCTCCTCCCCACCCACCAGCGGCTCTGCCCTCCAGGAGCCCACGCACCCTCCCTCCATTCCCCCACCCCCCACAATCCCGTGGTTCTGCCTCGGGATCCTGGGTGTCCCTCTTAGGGAGATGGGTGGAAAGACATGCAACAGTCCTGTTTGTTACACGTGGACATATTTGCAACACGCATCCCATGAAATGATCGTTATAATTCAGCCGCTTAGGAAAGCAACACTAAGTGCTGTTATGCAAAATATTCTTTTCTCCAGAAATTCCCATTCTTCTCCTGCTGGAGCAAAAATGAGGAAGAATGGACCCAGCCGGGAACTCACCTTGTTAGGGTTTAATTAACTGGAGTCACCCTCAGCCCAAGAGAGGGTTGGAGTAGTTGGGGATCATAAAGAACAGTTCCAGTCTCAGCTCTGTAATTTATTATCCGTGTGTGTTTGGGCAAGTTGTTGAAATTCTGCTCCGGATGTGTCTGTTTCTTCCTCAGTTAAGACTTGCTTGGTTATTTGAGAATTAAATGAGATAACATACATGAGGCTTCTGATACATTGCAGGTGTCCAACATACTTTAAATACATGTGGGTTCCTGTTTCTACTAACCTGTCAGTGCACACCTTCTCAACCTCCCTCATCATTTAAAATATTTTCCTTTGATCTGTGGTCCCTGGATAGTGCAAATTTGCCCTCAACTATTAACCTAATGAAGGAGCTCTGGTAGCATAGTAGTTACAAGTCAGGCTGCTAACCTGAAGTTCAGCAGTTCAAAACTACCAGCTACTCCTCGGAAGAAAGATAAGGTTTGCTGCTCCCATAAAGATTTACATAGCCTCGATACCCTATACAGGGTCACTATGAGCATAAGGAGCTCTGGTAGCGTAGTGGTTACAAATCGG